GTTCCTTCATTGAGACAGATCCAGGTGTACTTTAGAGTTAGAATAAGATAATATCACTTACAAGTAAAAACAGTTACTATTCTAAAATTTTCCCTAACCAGGATCAGAAGTGGCTCTCTATGGTTCATACTTCTCCCATTTTTGACCAGTCTTTAAATAGAGATTCTACGGAACATAGTAACGATCCCAGGATAGCACAGGAAGTCCCGATGTGTATTTTTAATTTCAGACCCATGGGTAAAGCTAGTTTCCAGCTTGTCCCTGGAGAATCCAAGTCATGTCCAAGGCAGGAAGTTGCAATGCAGGAGCAGTCCCAGGAGCCAGTAACTTAGGAAGTAGCCTAGAATGTACCGTGTGACTGAAGAACAGGTCTTCCAGTTGTACAAAAGCCCCATGATAGGATTTCTGGGGACCTTCTGTCCTGGTGGGGAGTCCCCTGCAGGAGGCTTCCAAGGCACAGTCTCTAGGGATCTCAACAGTGGCTCCTGATCCTGAAGCAAGTGAGCTGGAAACCAGTACACAATAGGAGTGGAGGAGCCCAAAAACCTGGTAAGAACCTAGAAATCATAAGAGGGGGAAAACCCACACGTTTATTTGAATGTCACTGACTCAAACTGGACCCCTCATCAGGGTATTTCTCTGATGCTGGAAGAACTATGGCCCCCTACAATTAGAAATGTATTATAGTGAAAAAGAAATTCAGCAAGCCTTAGGGTCTAACTTTAAAAGATGTGTGACACCGGCTCTGGGTTTTACACATAAACAGCTACAAACTAATTACCATAATAATAGGCCAATCAATACTGAAAGCTCTATGGGGTCTTAGTCTACAGTCTGGACTCACCTAGGGGCGGCAGAAGGAAAGGGGTTGGGGATCCTGTGGTTCAATATTCTCCCTCCTAGGGGAGTTCAAAGCCCAGTCTCCAAATGGCCTCCTTCATCTAACCTGGAGATTTTAAACTTTACTGTCACTCAATCCTGCTATAAACACAAAATACTACTTTCTTTCTCCTATGCTGCTGCTTCTTTTTTTTTTTGTAGAGAGAGTCTCACTTTATTGCCCTCAGTAGAGTGCCGTGGTGTCACACAGCTCACAGCAACCTCCAAATCCCGGGCTTAGGTGGATTCTCTTGCCTCAGCCTCCCGAGTAGCTGGGACTACAGGTGCCCGCCACAATGTCTGGCTATTTTTTTGTTGCAATTTGGCTGGGGCCAGGTTTGAACCCACCACCCTTGGTATATGGGGCTGGTGCCTTTCCCATTGAGCCACAGGTGCTGCCCTCTCCTGTGCTTCTTATCCACACAGCTCAGAGAACTTTACAAACAGTCAATATGCACCTCTAAAAGGCAGTAAGTGGTAGGGAGAGGTCAGCAAGTGAAAAAAAGACTTCCTGGGTAAGGCCATAGCTAAGAACAAAAAATTGGATGTAAGATTAAACCCTTTTCATCCCTTATTGTTGCTACTACCACCTCCAACATAGGAAAAGACAATCTCCTCTGAAAACTGGGCATCTGCCTGGGCTCAGGATATGTCCTAATGCCAGCATTCAAGAAGTATATTAAGGGCTTGGTGCCCATAGCCCAGTGGTTAGGGCATCGGTCACATACAAGACTGGAGGGTTCAAACCCAGCCCTGGGCCTGCTAAATGACAATGACAACAACAAAAAAATAGCTGGGCATTGTGGCGGGTACCTGTAGTCCCAGCTACTTGGGAGGCTGAGGCAAGAGAATCGCCTAAGCCCAAGAGTTTGAGGTTGCTGTGAGCTGTGACGCTACAGCACTCTACCTGACATATTTTCCATGTTTAGTCCTGTATCTTAGTTGAATCAGGTCTTTTTACAGCCCTCGTGTCTTTGCAAATGCCCTTCTATTTGCCTAGAATGTCCTCCCTCTGCTGCTGCTGCTTCTTTTTTTTTTTTTTTTGTAGAGACAGAGTCTTACTTTATCGCCCTTGATAGAGTGCCGTGGCATCACACAGTTCACAGCAACCTCCAACTTCTGGGCTTAAGTGATTCTCTTGCCTCAGCCTCCTGAGTAGCTGGGACTATAGGCGCCCACCACAATGCTCGGCTATTTTTTGGTTGCAGTTCAGCCGGAACCGAGTTTGAACCTGCCACCCTTGGTATATGGGACCAGCACCCTACCCACTGAACCACAGGCACCGCCCCTCCCTCTGCTTCTTACATGGAAAATCTCTTTTTATTCTTCAGGATCCAGCTTAAATATGATGCTTTTCTCAACTCCGCCTCCAGTGAGTCAGCTACTTCTTCCTCTTTCCTTCCACAATACTTTGTTGTTTTTTTTCTTTTACATCTCAAAACAGTAACCTTCCTTCATCCCACTGTACTATAATTTTACCAGTTGAGGCTTGGCACCTGTAGCTCAAGCAGCTAAGGCACCAGCTGCATACATCAGAGCTGGCAGGTTCGAATCCAGCCCGGGCCTGCCAAACAATAACAACTACAACCAAAAAATAGCTGGGCATTGTGGCAGGCGCCTGTAGTCCCAGCTACTTGGGAGGCTGAGGCAAGAGAATCGCTTAAGCCCAGGAGGTTGCTGTGAGCTGTGATGCCACGGCAATCTACCCAGGGTGGCAGCTTGAGGCTCTGTCTCAAAAAATAAAAATAAAAATAAGTATTTAAAAAAATAAAAATAATAATTTTATCAGTTGAATGTCTGTCTCCCTATTTATACCATAATACCCACTAGGATGGCATGAGCTACAGTGCCAGGCCCAGCATTTTCTCTTACTCATATTCTATCCTCACAAGTCTGACCTGGGATCTGGCACAAAGAGCATCCCCAAATAGTTGCTGAATGAATAAATTAGGTAAGAATTATGCAAATGGAAGAAGTTAGCTGTCTTCGCTGTCCTTGGCCAAGAGGTTTTGACTGTACTCACATCTTTATCCCAGCCAGGAATCCATCTCACCTGAACATGCATGCACAGACCTCCAAACAGCAGCAACACTGCAGCGTGGATCAGGTACACAAACACTTGAGGACTGAGGAATCCAGGATCAGGCTTTTCTGGGGTCTTACTGCTCTTGCACCTTTGCAGTCCAAGTGTAAGGCAGAGCCAAGGGTGGGTGGTTACATATGTCCAAGTTGCCCAGGCAACCAGTATAGCCATTGGTGTAGCCAACAGAAAATTTGGCACCTGTCTGAGCTCATAGTATTTCAAAAAGCCAACATTCCAATAGACATCCTGGATATAGCTGTATATTAGGGGAAGGTCCCAGAAGCACCAAGGTGGCTTATTTCCCTCTGCAGTCCGGTAGCCCTTGTCCACAGCTAACTGTACCAAGGGCTCAGGAATGGGGTGAGCCAAGCTGGGTAGACAGAATAGGGCATAGGCGTAATACTGAAAGAGGGCAAAGGGAAGGCCAAGTGTAAGCACCGACAGAAACAGAGAGAAGATCAGCTTCAAGAACTGTCTCAGGGGATTCAGCACTGTAAGAGAATAGAAAAAGCCTTGACACTGAGAATGTATAAGGAAGCCAACATTGACCAGCCCATTGGAGCGTACACCAGTAGCAAGGGCAAAGAGGAGTCCACTAGTCCAGACTCGGCCCCTTTCCAGCTGCCCCAGGGCACTGAATGTCAGGAGGGCAAACAAAGCTTCTGAGTAACCAGCTGCCAGGAAGACATTGGCAGGGCTGAGGCAGAAGAGCAGTGCTGCATAAAAAGCCTGGTGGGGACAGTGCAAAACCAGACGGCCTAGGTCATGAAGTGCGACTGCCGCCAGCACAGAAAATAAGGAATTGAGCAAGGCTACTGCAATCAGCAGGCAACTCCGGAGGCTCAGGAACCCCTGCAAGGGTCCCAGCAGTTCAGTCACCATAAGCAGGGCCAAGGGAAAACCAGGAAAGAAGGCAAAGTTGTGCTCATATAGGTACCCATGCTCAGCAATGAAGAGGAAGTGTTCAGCATCCCAGCGAGACAGACCCCCTAGGAGACCTTCCACAAGTTGGTCCACAGAGCCTGAAGGGGCCAGGCGAGGAGGAGAGAAAGCTTCTGCATGGTGATCTGGGATCACTGCATTAAAGACGGCCTGTGGGGTAAAGAAAAACCAGAATGTTGGTTGAATAACTGAAAGAAAAGAATTGCCATTTAATAAAATGAGGAATAACAGACTTGTGGGAGAATCAGGAGTTCAGTTTGGGACCAGTTAAGTGTAAGCTGGACACTCTAGTGCAGAAGTCAACTACACAGTGAGCTAAAGGAGTCTATAGGTTAAAGAGAGATGGACTAGAAATAGAAATTTAGGAGTTATAAGTACAGGGATGGTATTTAAAGGCGAGTGAATGAGATTCCCTAGAGAGGACATCCAGATAAGAGTCAACATTTAGAAGCTAAAAGAAGGATGAGGATCCAGTAATGAAGACAAAGAAGACAGTCAGTGAAATAGGAGGAAAACCAGGAGCATGGTATCTTAGAATCAAGTGAGGAAAAGGAGTGACCAACTCTATTAAATGCTATAGGTAGGCCACATTAGATGGGAACTGAAGGCTAGGCTCCTGTAGCTTAGTGGCTAGAGTGCCGGCCACATACACGGGCTGGTGGGTTAGAACCCAGCCCAGGCCTGCTAAACCAACAATGACAACTACAACAAAAAAAATAGCTGGGCGTTGTGGTGGGTGCCTGTAGTCCCAGCTACTTGGGAGGCTGAGGCAAGAGAATAGCTTAAGCCCAAAGAATTTGAGGTTACTATGAGCTGTGACATTATAGCACTCTCTAGAGGGTGACATAATGAGACTTTGGGAAAAAAAAATAGATAGGAACTAAAAACTGACCACTGGATTTATCAATGTGAAGGCCGCTGGTGACTTTGACAAGAGCTATTTCAATGGAATGGAGGAGAGAGAAACCACTTATCTGTTGATTCTCAACAGAATCAGAGAAAGGAAATTGGAGATAGTACAATGGTTTTGAGTTTTGTTGTAAGAGGAGCAAAGAAATGGATAACAGTATGAGATAAAGAAAATTTTTTATGTAAGGAAATGTGCATAACAATATGAGATAAAGAGAATTTTCTTTTTTTTTTTTGAGACAGAGCCTCAAGCTGTCCCCCTGGGTAGAGTGCCATGGCATTACAGCTCACAGCAACCTCCAACTCCTGGGCTCAAGCGAGTCTCCTGCCTCAGCCTCCCAAGTAGCTGGGACCACAGGCGCCCGCCACAACGCCCGGCTATTTTTTGGTTGTAGCCGTCATTGTTGTTTGGCGGGTCCGGGCTGGGGATTCGAACCCGCCACCTTAGGTGTACGTGGCTGGGGCCTTAGCTGGTTGAGCTATAGGCGCCAAGCCGAGAATTTTCTAAAAATGTTTTTTAGTGTATTGTTGTTGCAGTTTGGCCGGGGCTGGGTCTGAACTCACCACCCTCAGTATATGGGGCTGACACCCCACTCACTGAGCCACAGGCACCACCCAAGAGAATTTTTTTAAGGGTTTGTATGCTAATGGAAATATCCAGTGAAAAGGAAACCCCTGAATGTGCAGGAAAGAGAGGGGAGGATTGCTGGGCAGACAAAAGTGGATGGAACCTGCTACATAGGTGGAGGAGCTAACTCCGAAACGAAGACAAACAGTTCATCCCACCTTTGGTACTGAAAGCACAGAGGTGCAGACCTAGGCTGATGAGTGTTGGGGGAGCATGTGGAAAGTCTCTTCTAATGTTTTCTTTTTTTCCCTTGAGTTTTCATTCAGGAAAGCAAGTTACTGATTGAAAGTGAGTCTTGGGGAAAAGGTGTTAAGAGATTTGAGGAAGGAGGAAAATGTGCAATATAAGTTATCTATGACCCTGATTTTCCAAATAGGCTGTGCACTAGAAAAACCCAGGGCATTTCAAAAATTCTGATGTCTAGGTCCCTCCCCGTAATTAATAATTTAAAGGTGTGGGGGACAGCCTAGACATTGGAATTTTCTTTTAAAGGTTCTCTTTGTAAATTTTTTTTTTTTTTTGAGACAGTTTCACTCTGTTGGCCTGGGATTGACAGCTGTGGCATCATAGTTTACAGCAACCTCAAACTCTTGGGTTCAAGCAATCCTCTTGCCTCAGCCTTCCGAGTAGCTGGAACTATAGGCATGTGCCACAACACCCAGCTCTTCATTTTTAATAGAGATAGGGTCTCACTCTTGCTCAGGCTGGTCTTGAGCTTGTGAGTTTAGGCCAGGGGTCCTCAAACTTTTTAAACAGGGGGCCAGTTCACTGTCCCTCAGACCGTTGGAGGGCCGGACTATGGGCCCTGGGACAAGTCGGCTGCTAAACAGGACAGGCAGCAGCAGCAAAAACACCTGGTGGGCCAGATAAATGTCCTAGGCAGGCGCATGTGGCCCGCGGGCCGTAGTTTAAGGATGCCTGGTTAGGCAATCCACCCTTCTCTGCCTCTCAGAGTACTAAGATTACAGGTGTGAGCCACTAAGCCTGGCCATTCTAGGTGATTCTGATGTATAGAAAACTTAGAGAGAATGGGAGGGTGACTGGTCTAGGAAAATACACTAAGGTTGTTAGGCAGCATGAAGGACTCACTTGGGTTAGTGATCTTCAATTAAAAAAGACTAGATAGGCTCGGCGCCTATAGCTCAACCGGCTAAGACGCCAGCCACGTACACCTAAGGTGGTGGGTTCGAATCCCCAGCCCGGCCCACCAAACAACAATGACGGCTGCAACCAAAAAATAGCCGGGCGTTGTGGCGGGCGCCTGTGGTCCCAGCTACTTGGGAGGCTGAGGCAGGAGACTCGCTTGAGCCCAGGAGTTGGAGGTTGCTGTGAGCTGTAATGCCATGGCACTCTACCCAGGGGGACAGCTTGAGGCTCTGTCTCAAAAAAAAAAAAAGACTAGATACAGGTGGCACCTGTGGCTCAAAGGAGTAAGGTGCCAGCCCCATATGTCAAAGGTGGCAGGTTCAAACCCAGCCCAGGCCAAAAACTGCAAAAAAAAAAAAAAAAAAGACTACTTAGGGTACAGTGGTTCACACCTCTAATCCCAGCACAATGGGAGGCCAAGGAGGGTAGATTGCTTTAGCTCACAAGTTTGAGACCAGCCTGGCATAAATGAGACCTTGTCTCTAAAAAATAACAGAGTTGCAGCAGGTGCCTATAGTTCCAGCTACTTGGGAGGCTGAGGCAAGAGGATTGCTTATGCCCAAGAGTTTGAGGCTGCTGTGAGCTATGATGCCATGACACCCAACCCAGAGTGACTGAGTGAGACTCTGTCTCAAAAAAACAAACAAGGCACCCCTAGCTCAGCCGACAGGGCACCGGCCACATACACCTAGGGGGGCAGGTTCGAACCCAGCCCAGGCCTGCTAAGCAACAATGACAACTGCAACCAAAAAATAGTGGGACATAGTGGCGGGCGCCTGTAGTCCCAGCAACTTGGGAGGCTGAGGCAAGAGAATCTATTAAGCCCAAAAGTTTGAGGTTGCTACGAGCTGTGATGCCACCACACTCTACCAAGGGCAACAGATTGAGACTCTGTCTCCAAAAAAAGAAAAAAAAAGAAAAAGAAAAAGGAAAAACCAAATGGCTCAGCCCCTGTAGTTCAGTGGTTAGGGTGCCAGCCACATACACCAAAGCAGGTGGGTTCGAACCAGCCAGGGCCTGCTAAACAACAATGACAACTGCAACAATAACAACAACAAAAAATCCGGGAGCGGGCGGCACCTGTGGCTCAAAGGAGTAGGATGCTGGCCCCATATGCCAGAGGTGATGGGTTCAAACCCAGCCTGGCCATAAACTGCCCCCCCCCGCCCAAAAAAAGGCTAGGAGTGGGGTGGGCACCTCCCAGTTACTTGGGAAGCTGAGGCAAGAGAATCACTTAAGTCCAAGAGTTTGAAGTTGCTGTGAGCTATGATGCCACAGCACTCTACCAAGGGCAACATAGTGAGACTCTGTCTCAAAAGAAAACAAACAAACAAATGCTGGGCGAGGTGGCTCACACCTACAATCCCAGCATTTGGGAGGCTGAGGCAGGTGGATTACCTGAGCTCAGAGGTTCGAGACCTCATCTCTAAAAATAGCTAGGTGTTGTGGTGGGTGCATCTAGTCCCAGTTACTCGGGAGACTGAGGGAAAAGAATCACTTAAACAAAAAGCCAAGCATGATGACTTACACCTGTAATCCTAGCACTCTAAGGCCAAGGCAGGTGGATTGCTTGAGCTCATGAATTTGAGAAGAGAATCACTTAAACAAAAACCCAAGCATGGTGGCTTACATCTGTAATCCTAGCACTCTGAGGCCAAGGCAGGTGGATTGCTTGAGCTCATGAGTTCGAGACCAGCCTGAGCAAGAGCGAGACCCCATTTTTACTTAAAAAAATAGAAAAACTGAGGCAAGAGGATCGCTTAAGCCTAAGAGTTGGAGGTTGCTGTGAGCTATGACACCACAACACTCTACCCAGGGTGACAGCTTGAGACTCTTGTCTCAAAATAAATAAATAAATAAATAAATAAATAAATAAATAAATTTTGGTGGGTGAACAAACTGCAAAGAGGAAACACTCTGTTTCCAAAACTACCACCTGAATTAGAACCCGGCTGTCCTGGCTAGCCTAGATACTTATCCCAGATACTGATTTGCAATATTGCTCCTTTTATTCCTCCAACAGCTCCATTGATGTTGCTTCAGAGCCATGACTCAGTCTCCCCAGCCTGGTAACAGGAACACAGCTCCATTTTTAAGGCTCTTTCCCTTCTTCATCAGTTTCCTTATCAGGCCATTTCAAACAGGGAAAACAAATGGGACAGGAGTGACAGTCACAGATAGGACTTGTTTAACTAATTCTGGAACCCAACAGAGCCTGCTATGCCTCAGATAGTGGGGGAGGAGAGAAGAAAGGAGGTTTCTGTAAGAGAACCAGCTATGAGCCTCAGAGTATGTTGCTGTGATAAAAGGTACACATAATTATGTTAATATAACATCCTTAGTGTGTTGACATACATTTAACAACAACATTCATTCACTTACAAACATTTACTAAGGTAAAGCTCTACTAAGCACTGAGCACTGGACATTTTTTCTTTTCTTTTTTTTTCTGAGACAATATCTTAAGCTCTTGCCCTAAGTAGAGTGCCGTGGCATCATAGTTCACAGCAACCTCCAACTCTTGGGCTCAAGCGATCCTCTTTCTTCAGTTTTTCTATTTTAGTAGAGATGGGGTCATGCTTTTGTTCAGGCTGGTCTTGAACTTGTGAGCTCAAGCTATCCACCTACTTTGGCTTCCCAGAGTGCCAGGATTATAGGTATGAGCCACTGTGCCTGGCTGGCACTGGACATTTTAATAAAATATGTAGCAAAGACAGCCTTGGAGAGGCAAAGGGAGGTGCAAAAGAGCACTTGAATTGAGGGTTGTATGTAAGTGAGGCAGCAAAGGGAGGTGCCTGGGGTAAGAGGAACCATTACTGATGAGTGAGTATATACAGATGACCTCAGGTTTTGCACGTTGCCACTTCTGTCCCATTCAACTGAGTGACACAGTGCTCAGTTTCCTGAGGATATCCTAGCAATGGTTTGATCTGTGATACCCTAAAAGTATCTCTGGGTATAGAACATCACAGTCTGTTAGAAAGACCACCAGCTCAGAAGTTAGGAAACATGGAGTCTGACTCTGGCCCTTTTCTGCCTTGGCTTTATGGAAATCATTTCTGGGTCTCTATTGCTTCGTGTGTAAAACAAGGGGTTAACAAACTGTTTCTAAGATTCCTGCCCACTTTTCAGCTATAAAGTCCATGTATCTATGGTTCCACCTACACGGAGGGGCACACCTGAGATGGGAAGGCAATGCACATGCTTCTTCCTACCTAGCCCAGTCATGTAGTAATGGCACATACTACAAAGGATCAGAGAACTGACCTGTAGCACCAGAGTCAGAACACGGCAGCTGACTGCAAACCTCAGCACCTCCTTCCGGGATGGGTCCAGGGGCCACATCCTCTCATCACCAGGTATTCAGGACTGAGTTCCTTAGGCTTCTAAATTCCAAAACCCAAGGAGGAAAATGTTATACATGGGTTGAAAGCAAATTCTTGAAGGCAGTCTTCATAAGAACCGCCCCCTTCAGCATTACTATGGCAAACTTAATCACCTGACAGGGAAAAGCATCTTGAGGGCAGAAGTGTTCACTAGGTGTCACTCTGAAGCACTGTTATCTTTGTTGAGAAAGTTCCATACATTGAAGCATGAAGCTGGAAAGAAAGCTAAGCTCACAGAAAATCTCTAAAAGCCTATTGAGTACTTCTATGAAGGAACTAAAGACTTGGGTTCAAGTTCTGACTCTGTCACTTACAAGTTCTCTTCAGTCTCTCAGAACCTCAGTTCTTTATGTAAAATATGCTATCGGTCCATCTTTTTTTTTTTTTTTTTTTT